TTTGGTATTTTTGCTCTTCAGCGTATTTAGAAAGTAAATTTGTTTAAAGTTTTTGTACAGAAATACTCAGTTTATTACTGTTTACTGCAATTTTTTCTGTTCGGAACCTGTAGTCAATTCTTCCCTTCTTTGCAAAGAGATTTATTTGAAAGACCTGTAATATTTTGCTAATTTTGTTCAAGTACACTTCTCGTATGCTTTAGTAGTGACATTTATACATCTATTTAATTGACAATTTGTCCTTTAAGAAATTATTTTTGACCTTCTCAGTAACTGTTGGATAACAGTGAATGTCCAGTGTCCATTGGCTTTAGCGACCACTGATACTTCTTCCTTTTTGACTGCAGCGTTAAACCCAAAATTGCATAGTCTGTCCTGAAGACACCAGCTAGCAAGAGAAGCAAACTGTGAAAATCTAGACAGCTTTGATTAGTACAGTCCTCAGTTTGTTGTTTTATACATTAACCTGTATAGGGAGAATTTGAAATTGCAATACAGTGAGAAAAGTTTTAGGAGTGAAGTGAAGCATTTTTGAGAGAGGTGTCATTTGAAACTTATGCAGACTTAACCTTTTTAGGCTTTCTATTCCAGTCCAGTTTTAATGTGGCACTGCATTTGACATGGAAAACTCAGAGGTTGATGCCCCCTTGTGGTCTATTACCAAAATAAAGAGCACAAATAGAAATAAATACATGTTAAATCATTCATTCCTTCCTTTATAAAGTAATTTTTAAAAAGTGACTTCTGAGGAAAAACAGCAAAGGAATTGTTATTCCTGTATTCCATATACTTTATTTATACTTGAAGATTTATCAGATATTATTTTAAGCATTTGTGACAGAATGTGCATATGTGTTAGCTGGACACTGATGTAAAGAAATAGGTTGTCGGGTGAGCTATCATTGTCATCTCGGGCATCTAACAGGTAGTTTTAAGTGCCTTAAAAGCATGATGAGATGTGATAGTAATTATAGGGCTAGCTCACTACCCTCCCCCCCACACCCACACCCACACCCACACCCACACACACACGGCTTGGGAAAGTTGTTGTTTATACTTAGTCGTTTGACCTGAAAGGGCCAGGAGCTGTATGAGGGATGGGAAGAAATAAGGATTTATATTAGTGAATTGGTGAATTTAAGCTCATTTGCTTTTACTGACGTTATTGGCAAGGTCTTATTTGTGTGTGAGTGTGAGTTTGTAGAGAAAGTGGAGGAGACGTAGCAGCAGCAGTCAGTGTTGTGAGAAAGACAGATGCAGATGCCAACAGCTGTTTTTCCTCTGCTACCCAGGAGGATGCATGATGATTGGAAACAGTCCAACACAGTGAGTGTGGGCCTTGAGATCAGATAGGCCTGGTTAGGTATACCTGGTTTTAAAACTGGTTTTAACTCTTAACAGTTCTTGGGCAGGTGTGTAATATTGGGTAAGTTACTTCATCTCTGAACACAGGTTTCCTCTTTTTAAGAAGAGGTTTAAAACCTACCTTATTGCACTGTTTGCAGCTTGATTTTCATCATATGAAGTCTTGGCATATACCACTGTTACTTTTAGGATGAGGGCAGTGTTGAGTTATAAAGAAAGGGTACCACATGATTTTGTAACTACTGGTGTTGGTAAAGACTCAGTGATAGAATGTATCCTAAACAGTGGTAAATCAGCTTAGAGCCCCTTTTCTTCACTGTGGTCTTGGTGCTGTACTTCTGTATCAGTACGTATTTTTTTTTTTTTTTTGTGAGGAAGACCCGCCCTGTGCTAACATCTACCAATCCTCCTCTTTTTTTGCTGAGGAAGACTGGCCCTGGGCTAACATCTGTGCCCATCTTCCTCCACTTTATATGGGATGCCACCACAGCGTGGCTTGCCAAGCAGCGCGTCAGTGCGCGCCCCGGATCCGAACCGGCGAACCCTGGGCCGCTGCAGAAGAGCGCGCGCACTTAACCGCTTGCGCCACCAGGCCAGCCCCTGTATCAGTACGTATTTTATTTATAGATTCCTGCCTGTAAGTGAGATTATATCACATTAAAGAATTTACTAGGTCAGTTATTTTAATAGCTGAAGCCTATTAACCAATTCTTTTTAGAAAAATGATACAATAAGATTTTTTTCTTTAGGAGTAATAGTTGTGTGTTTTGGCAGGTTTAACTTTAAAAAATAAACTGATGATGTTCTTCCTCAATAGCCATCTATCTTTAAAAAAAAGCTTTTGTGAAGGACAACAAAGTAATGAAATGTTTTTTGTTGTTTTGCTTTGTTTTTCAAGAGTTGCTTATAGAACCAGGCTCACTGTTTTATAGTCACTTTATTTAATACTTAAAGGAATTAATCTGAGTCCATTTGCAGAAGAAATAAGATTATTTGGAGTTATTTAATTTAACAGAAAAATAAGATGGTTTTTTTTTTTTGTAAACTCAGGTATATTCAACTTTGAATCATAAGATTTTCTCCCTTGTAAAACTTTCCTTGACAGCTAAGTTGTAGAAATTTACTAGTTTTGTGTGTGTGTGTGTGTGTGTGTGTGTGTGTGTGTGTGTGAGGAAGATTAGCCCTGAGCTAACATCTGATGCCAATCCTCCTCTTTTTTTTTGCTGAGGAAGATTGGCCCTGGGCTAACTTCCTTGCCCATTTTCCTTTATCTGTATGGGACATCGCCACAGTATGGCTTGACAAGCAGTGCGTCGGTCCGTGCCCAGGATCCGAACCTGCAAACCCTGGGCTGCCGAAGCAGAGCATGCAAACTTAATCGCTTCGCCACCAGGCTGGCCCCTAATTTTTTCTTTTTGAATAACATACTGTAAAAGAACTAGGAGGATATCTCAAAATATAAGTGTAACTGCCTGGGTTCAAGTGCTTTTTGGAAGTAGGTGGGCTATAAATCATATAAGCAAAGATTAATGGTAGACATTCCATCAGGAGGCTATTCTGTGCATTTTCATACCTGCCTCTTTCACCTTTTCCTTTATTTCTTTGGTTCTCAAAACATCTAGTGTACATTTGGATAGTGCCTAACTGAAGTCTCTGTTGTTCCTAAACCCTGTAGGTAATTAATAAAGACTTTAATATAAGACATTATTTTGGCAGTGAAAATTTCTCTTGTAAATTACGAAATGGAGTTTTGTTATTTTATCCTTGATTATTGGTTCTTGGGGAGACAGACTATTTTAGGGAAGAAAAGTGGAAGTGGGGGGCTGGAGGAGAGATAGCTGGAACAAAGTGAAGGGTAGGCCATAGGGGGCGATGGCAAGAACACATGCCATTCTACCAGGGACTTGTTTTTTAAACATAAAAAGCATATGTGCCAAATTTACATGTTTACTAATTAAAAAGGCTTCCTGGAAACATTACGTAGACTATCTTCTATAACCTTTAACACTGTCACTAATGGATATTGCATAGAAGATTTCATCGAAGGTCCTTTAAATAACGTAACTGATTATGAGTATGTAACTAGTTAATATGCAGCTGTGAAAGGATTACCATGTAGAGGTTAATGAACATTCTGCTCTTACGGTTTGCAGGGCTTTTCTTTTTGTGCTTTTGGCTCACTTCATGCTTGGAGACACACGCATTGGGATTGGAAGGCATCCTGACTGTTTTTGGGTGTCATCTTTTGATGGGGTTGCTAAATAGGAACTTTATAAAAAGGATTTCATGAAGATTTTTTTATTTTTCAATTCTGTTTGTCTATTTTGTGATTACTGCCAAATCAGAAACAGTGAAATGGACTGATGTAGTTTAGGCCTGGTTCTTCCAGATGCAAAGCCAGTACTCTATTAGATATTACCACTGTTATTAAGTGTTGCTGTGTGATTGATACTTAGTGAGAGATCTTCATTCTAAAACGGAATTTTTATGCTGCGTTAATGTGTAGTATGGTTGGGTATCTGATTACAGCATGTATTTTGGTACAGGATTGCTGCCTTAGTATTTAAAATGTCCCAAAGGAGGACATTTATTTCAGGAATTAAATGTTGTAATAGAAGAATTTAGTGACAGGCCACCGCCCAAAAAAAGTCTTGTGATTTTGGGGTGAAACATTGAGCATATAGAAGAGACAATATTGGTATTTAGAACAGTGAACTAGAGCAGTGTGTTTCAAACCAGATAATACTGCTGTTTTTTTCACATGGCCTTATATTAAGCATTTTGGCTTTTATCCCTTAGTTTCTCTGTCTCTAAAATGGTGCTACAGTATTTTAGATTATTGTTTAAAATTTTTATGAATGGGCAATTTAAAAACATGGTTAGTAATCTTTGAAAACAGTGTTATTTTTTAAATTGCCATTCCAAGTGTTCTTTTTTTCCCTTATTGGTTAGTGTTCTTATTTGTTTTCTGGGCATTTTGAGAATACTGAAACATCTCTAAGGAAAACAAATAATTTTTGTGCTTAATTTCATTGTTTTAGTATTCTAAACATAGTTTAAACTGGCTTTGAAGTGCTTAAAATTTTATCATAATTCACTGGGGGAACAAATGGGGCTGTTCAGAGCATCTCTTTATCCCAAGTATTTCTTCTTGAAAATGTAGTAGAAAAATACCACTGAACTCATTTTTAATGCATCAGAATAAAAATTACAGGTGAAAACATTTGGAGATATACTGACAAAATAAAATATTTTCACTACTGTCATTTCTTTTTTTTTTAACTGAAAAAACGTGGATGTTACATTGGTTTTTTGTTATTGATAACATTTGCGTATTTTACGAAATACGTAACATTGAAAACAGGTCTGCAGATTGTACAAAATACTAGTTATCTTATATCATATGTCACCTAATAGTTATGAAGCGGGTTTTGTACCGAAGTATGAATCGGAAAGCTGTAATTTGTTCTGCAGTTATCAGCCTGCATTAGAGGGTTATGATAAAGTGTGCTGCTTAAAAACTAACATTCACATCTCTGTGCATTTGACAAATAAAAATGTATACTGAGATGCTATTAAATCTGTAAAGCCACTGTTCTCGTTTTCTGATGCACTGATTTTGTAGCTTTGTGTGTAGCCCTGTATTTTCATGAGTAGTTATCTGTTTTCATGACAGGTGGTCACGAGCTGCCAAGAGAAGATCCAGCATTGGTGAGTGAAAGATGCTTTTATTCCATTTCTGAAACACTGATGGGCTCACCTATTTGTGTTTAAATAAAGAGTATGCTATTTTTTTGTATCCCGTAATTGAATTCTTCTAGTAATCTCCATTTTGAATGCTTTGATACTAATTTATATTGTCTTTCACCGTTTACTGAATTACGTACATTTTCCCTGGTTTCCTGAAGTTTTGTCACCATTTGTGTTTATTCTAATTGCCTTCTTTTTTCCTTTCTTTTCTTTTTTTTTTTTAAAGTTAAAATATTAATATCATTGTGAAGTGGAGACTGACATTTTTGAACCTGACTAGTCATAGAGAACTCTATTTTGGGACTATTTCTTATATTTGTAGTAGAATAATAATCTGAATCAATTATTTTAAAATAATTATGGAAATATGCACAGATACATTTTCCCAAATTTTGAAAAATCTAACAGAGCTTGCTTTATGGACTGCACTTTTTCAGGGTGCAGAGAGAAAGCATATCTATTTTACTGTGCTAATCTGTAGTTAATAGGACAATGCTTGGTAAACAACACGCTTTCCACTGTCTTCTGAGGAAAACATTCAATTTAATGGTGAATAAAATCGTATATTATGAGTTGTCGTGAGGTATAGCTGTTGATCTTACAGATATCAAATTACAATATATCCATGCTGTGTTTACGAAGATTTTACTGAGAGAACAACAGGAGCTGTCTTAATGATTGTCTGCAGGGTTATTGCAAAATCATGGTAACTGCCCCTTTAGTAGTGAGATTAAACCTTTGGTTATACACCATCAAGCATATAATATTTTAAATTTATTTTAAGAGGCTTTTTCTTCATGCCTGAGAGATCTCCAAGGAAATAATTTATAGTTAGTGTATATCAAATGTTTTTTGGTTTAAATGCACATAGGCTGCAAGCAGTGGATAAGAGTGAAAATCGGTGCAATCTGTACACATCATCTTATTAAATTCTGACTATTGGCTTGCAGAAAATAATCTAAAACTAATATCCACTTTATAAATACAAATTCAGGAACTTCATTAATTTTCAATAAATGCAGTGTTGTAGTTGCATCCACTGTTGGTGTCAGTCTGTCAGCATTTCCATAATGGACCATTCGCTTTTCATTATACGTTCAGTCCAGGTTAAAACTTGAAATGCAAGTTCTTGGCCAAAGAATTCACCGTTTTCCCTCCCTGCTCATTGGGCCAAAGTGATCCATTTTACAAGTAATTCCCAGGAGAAATTTTATTAATGTGGACTTCTCTCTATTGGTTTTGGTAAGGAAATCAGGAAATTAGTAAAAGATTGAATTCACAACAGATACTAATTTACACAAATGTGTGAATAACAACTTGCTCCTGGTTTGTTTTGTAAGGTTTTTTCCCTGTTAGACTGAGAATTCTTTAAGGCTAGGGGCATGTTTTCATCCTCTTATCCATAGCACCTCCTACCGTGTTTGGCACATTATAGACACCTCATAAATGTTTGAGTAAATTAAGACAGAATACATAATCATTTTATATATAACATCTTAGTTTGTACATAGTATAGCAGTGCCCAAGCCTGGTGAGCACTGACGGACAGAGTGGGACCTTTACTTCCGAGCAGGTTCGCATGACTCTCAGCTCAGTCTCCAGTTTTCCAAAGCTCTCCCAACTACAGAAACTTACCATATTTTCCTAGACATGTCTTAAAGTGATATAGTGGGCCGGCCCCGTGGCTTAGCGGTTAAGTGCTCGCGCTCCGCTGCTGGCGGCCCGGGTTTGGATCCCAGGCGCGCACTGACGCACTGCTTCTCCATCCGTGCTAAGGCCAAGTCCCACATACAGCAACTAGAAGGATGTGCAGCTATGACATAGAACTATCTACTGGGGCTTTGGGGGGAAAATAAATAAATAAATAAAATTATTAAAGTGATATAGTGCCTTATCTATACATTAAAAAATTAAAATATTTGTTCCAGTTAAATTTGTTTTTTCCTCTGAATCATTTCTAATGTGGCTCAGGAAACAGACTTTTTCTGTTTGTTTTTAATGAGGATCTGATATTGCTAGAATCTAAATGGCCAGTGAACTCACCAATTTATTATATTAAAAAACTGAAACCAAAGTGTCTCCATTCCTCTGAAAGCCAGGAAATTGCTATTTGGGAGCATTGTGAAATTCTCGTGATATTTTTATTCTCTTAATTCCACAAACAATGATTGAATTCCTACCATTTGCCAGTATTATGCTGCTGTTTGGAATTGAAATACTCCGCCGTGGAGAAATTCATAGTTAGACACTAAACAGGGAAATCACAATAATTTTGTGCTATTTGCTTAGAGATAGGAAGCAAGGACGGAGGCTGGAGCCATTTTTAAGGGTGTCTCACACACTGCATTTAAAAGTGTGTTGCTTTTCATTCTTCTTAACCCTTTGTGTCAGCGTAGTCTAAAATACAGCTTGTATAGCTAAGCTCCCTTCTTTATGGATACATACCAAAATAATAAGGAAGAGCAAAATATACGATTTAAAAAAAATGCATTCTGATGCTAGTGATGTTTATGCCTGTTTGTGCTATTTTAAAGTATTCTTTTATTTAAGGTGTAAGTAATGAATATTCTAGGCTTCAAAAATAATCTTAAAAATATTTTTATATGTAGGACAGAAAGTAAAAATATTTGCAGAAAAGTAGGAGTAAAAATGGCCTGGGGCAACAGGTTCTACCCCCCAAAAATATCTTCCAGAAAATTAGTTCAAATCCCAGAACTTTGGTGAACTAAAGACATTGATGATATTTATTTAGTTAATAACAGATAAAAAGGAAATATTTGAGTCTAATAGTTGAGAATTTGTGCAACACTTTTAGAGCTTATAGTAGTTTTCAATTTAGTGAAGGTTTAAAGAAATGTAAATACAACTTTTTTTTTTTTTCCCTTATAATCCTTTTTACTTAACTCAGGAAATAAGTTATTATAAAATCCACACACTATTTTCACATTAAAATGTGGATATACTTCCCACTGTTCGATCCACTAGGGGCTGATTATTCTGTTTGTAGATTATTTGTAATTTTTTATCTTTTTAATTCTTCCCTAAAGAGCATGGGATTTGGAGTCAGAGACCTGTATTTGAATCCTCATTTACTAACTTTGTAACCTTAGGCGAATTACTAAGATTCTCAGTTTTCTCCTTGTAAAGTGATGATGATACTATTTAACTTGAAGATCAAGTGAGATAATGTCTATAGAACACCCAGCCTGGTAGTCAGTAAATATTAATAGTAGCTCTGAAATTTTTTCTTAAAATTTTAATTGTCAGATGAATAAAGAAAAAAACCCAAAAAACAAAAGCCAAAACTTGGTAAATAGTCCTGAATATTTTGTATTCTTGTCATTATCTTTTTTTACCATGATGGAGAGATGGCTTTCTGAGTAGTAGTATTAAAGCTTTACACTAATGTTTTTAAATAGCTTTGTATTATGAAGAATTTCAAACAAAGGTGACAGAGTATAGTGAACCCACATGTACCCATCACTCAGCTTCAATAATTATCAACTCATGGTTTTATCTACAACGTTTTGTTTAAACAGCCTCTCCTATTCTCTGCCCTCACCTCCAACTATTTTGAAGTGGATCTAAAACGTATCATTCCATCCAGAAATATTTCAGTATATATCTTTAAGATGTGAAAGACTCTATATTAACTTTTTAAAATTTAAATACAGAAATTTTAAATTAGGCATATTATATAGTACAAAAGGGCATAAATGGTATCTAGTTTCTCTCCTGTCCTTGACCCCCAATTCTTAGTTCTCTTCTTTGTAATCAACTGTGTTTTACTAGTTTCTTGCAAATCTTTTCAGAAATTGTTTGCACAAGGGGTGTGTGTGTGTATATGTGTGTGTATGTGTATTCATCCACATGTGATATACATTATGCTCTCACCCTTTTTGACAAACATGACATCAGACTGGACACTGTTCATTTAATATTATACCTTGGAGATTGTTCTCAATCATTAACTCTTATTCTGTGTTTCATTCCCATAAACTTCATTGTGTATCAAGTGTCTAATTTTTAGCGTCACCAAATAAGATTTGGTACTAAATTTTTTTTTTTTTTTTACATAAATAATGGCCAAACCACTGAGAGTATGGCTTCTGCAACTTAAAATACATCCTTGCTAAGGGGTTATATCCATTATTTATTGCTCCGTAATAAAATTACTCCAAAACTTAGTGGCGTAAAACAACTGCCATTGTCCTGTGTATGATTCTGTGGATGTGCATCTTGGACTGGACTTAGCTGTGGTTCTTCTGTTCATCTTGTTTGGACTCAGTCTGGCAGGTGCAGTCTTTTGGTAGCTGGGTCAGCTGGGTTGTCCAGAATGGCCTCACCCACCTGTCTGGTGGCTGGTGCTGGCTGTTAGCTGGACCTTTGTCTGCGTGTGCTTTTTGTCTGGCTTACTTTACATGATGGTCTCAGGGCAGCAAGAATGGAAGCTGCAAAGCCACATTCTGTTCGTCAAAGGAACTCACAAAGCCAGCCCTGATTCAGAAGGTGGGGAATTAGACTCCACCTGTTGGTGGGAGGAGTGACAAAGAATTTATGGTCATTTTTAATGCATTATCGATGACTTCTGTTGAATGTGTCCCACAAGAAAAAAGAAGTCTCATTACTTGTGTTGATGTGTGAGAATTAAATGGAATATGGCATGTGATGCCTGGCACATAAAAATCATCTGTATGTTAGGCATTATTTGTAATCATAAATTGTATGCATATGAATTGTAAAAAATATATTGTTTTGCTTCCTTTAAATCATCTTAAAAGAGTTTTAAGTAGTAAAGATATCTATGAAATTACCTGAAGCAGACTTAGAGGAAAATGTAGAAAAAGGTATTTTATATTGTTCAAATGTTTAATTTTGGAAAGAATAGCTTTAAATTTGGACATAAAAATTCTGAAACCCTCAACTGTGTGAGGTTTGAGAGAGGGATTCTAAAGCAAATG